AGACATTTATTACAGAAAAAAGTACACAAAGAAGTGTAAAATTTGCATTTTTCTAAATTAATTCCACTATTATATTCATAGTCTATGAATTATTCAAAAAGCAGTCGATCTTTTATTTCGTTACTTAGAAAAATCTCTTGAAGTTTCTAAACTTTCGTCTGACTGTTTAATTTTCATCGGATTAACAAACTTCAGCAGCGATATCGAAACAAAAGCAGGGATTAACGGACGTTCGCCAGCCGATGTTTCCCCGTTAATTATTGTTCGTCGACTTTCCTCCAAGCGGCAATTAGACGCGATTAACGGCGTGGCCGCGTGTATGCAAATCCGCGGGTACATATTCAATTCCGTGCACGCCGTTAAAAAATCGTCGCTCGATATCCGGCGTCGTTCACCGATACACGTCGTACGTCCAGCTAATTAAATCGTAATCGACTATTAGACGTTGAGCCTATTTTTAGGCTCCAGAGGGGTCGCTTATTTTTCGTAGTGTATGATCACTATATCTAACATATAAAAATTCTAACTCGAAAATATAAAAAGTCATGACAAAGCCTGCTTGTTCTATAAAAGTTAATTCGTCGTCGGTCGAGCGAGATAGTGAATTCGCTTTATTGTCTCCCGCGGTTCCACAGCTTCGAGTGTTACACGTCCTACATATGTAAGTGTTTCAATGGTTTGTTCGGTGAGTTAACGGTCGCGCACGCGCGCGCGAAAAACGCGTTAGCGATAACTTAACTGACACTCCGCTGGCTTGTTTTCTTTTTTCGCTTCGCTGTTTATCCTGTCGTGTATTTGGTCAGCGTCGACCGATTGTTGTCGCGGATTTGCATAATTACGTGGTTGCGCGCGCGCGCGCTCGGTAATATACGCCGTCTGATTTGCATACTTAATTCCGTAATTGGCGCTTCTTAATTGTTTAGTCGACCGCGTAATTCACTCGTTGGGGCCCCCATCTCCCCACCTCTGCGTGTTCGATATTTTCGTCGAGGACTAGCCGGCCAGAGAGCCGCGTCGACCGACGTTAATGGCCGACGGCTGAAACGATTTACCTTTCGAAATTGCGAATCGTTCAGGATCTTTCCGTTTTTTTTTTTTTTTTTTTTTTTTTTTTTTTTTTTTTTTTTTTTTTTTTTTTTTTTTTTTTTTTTTTTTTTTTTTTTTTTTTACGTTGAAAACGAGTCCTTGTAACTTGCTAATTTTTGGCATTGTCGAAGACCTAACGGCACGAGGAATTTCTAAATCGTTGTTATGCGGTTGAATTTACATATATGTTTTCGTTTATGGGGTTTCTTTCGAAATTGTCCGATCGTGAGATCAGAAGATCATATTAATTGTCTACATGGTCGTTTTACATTATCTTTAGTAGGGCTATAGTGAACATCTGTACAAGAATCACATCATACACGATACACTACTATTACGTTGGCTTTCACACGAACACTGATCAACTTACAGTCACAACAAATATTGAGATCTATACATCCTGTGTAGATAGGTAATGAAGGCACACTGTGTAGGCATAAAAGGTGTAGTTTTATCGGCAATCTTAAATAACAATGAATACGATGGAAGTTAGGAATGTACATAAACGGCGTTTCATGTGAATCACCTCTAAATCGAACGATCCTACGATTTTCAAAATCATTCGACGGGTTGTCAGGTATCGGAGTAATCCAAATTACAGTGCGTATCGCGATCTCGTTGTGCAGTTCGCGACGTTCGGAACAATTAAAAACGCATTAGCGTTTACAGGGTCGACGGCTCCAGGGAGGAAGGGACGTTGACGGTGGGTTACGCGTCGTTCAAAGGGAAAATTGGCCGGGATATAATTTGATACTTTTACGATTTGCTCTTGTTTTTCAGTAATTTCGAGTCGCTCTGGGCGGCTCAGCTGCGAGCAGCGTAGTTCGCGAGCGAACGCTCGCGCGCACACGAGCGTAATTACAGGCCGTCTAGGTTTCTTCGCTCCCCACCTTTTCCTCTCCCTTCTGCGCCCTCTCCTGGCATTGGAACAGCCCTGGGCGACGTCTAGGAAGCGCCTAGAGATTCGCTAACGACGAAATACAGGGACGGAAATGATAGAGACCGGTCGGAGGGATAGAGAGGTTAAGTGATGGTTTTGAGAGGGAACGCGAGAAGGGTTGGGAGAGAGCGTTTATTGAGGAGTGTGGTACAGAGCGGATGCTTGTGATGGACTGAAGGAGAGGGAGGAGTAAACAGAAAGAGAATGAAGGATTTGAGAGGCGTGGGGTTGGGAACGGGGGACGAAGAGGTCGCGGAAGAAACTGGAGGTGTTAGAGATGGTTAGAATTAAGTGGTAATTATTAGGCTGGAACACAGGGATGTAGAGTACATAATATTGATGGTATTAATAAAGTTCAAATCAATAGAAAATCAAATGAATAGATGTATGGTACAGGGGTAAGTGTTAGGGTAGAAAAAGAGAGGGGAGAAAGAGTATATCGAGAAAAATTAATCGAGAAGTTAAGAATTAAGAATAAATGGAATACAGATGTTACCGGAACACTCGAGATATTTTATACAATTTTCTAGGATTGCGAATCATCTGTAGAATCGTCTGTGCTAATCGGAAGTCAAGAATACCAAATGAATTTCTCGTGTATACCGACCGGAATTATCTAAAATTGAAATATTCCTGTTCAATCAATCTTAAACAACACCAGCGGACAGTCGAGGCGCTACCTAAAAGGCATTATTCAATCAATTACGGCTTCTTTGAGCGTGTTACACATCGTGTGTGTAACAGACGATCACGAGGCATTAAACGCATCGATTATTCGGAGCCGCGCGAGCCACGCTTCGATAATCGATTAATAATTGCCGTTGCATTATACGCGCTAAAGTCTTTAGACTGATTAGGCGTCGTTGTTGCGTGTTATAGCTCGTGGCGAATAGAAACTGATTTCTCCGTCGACCATGAATACCTGACATCTGTCGCGCGGCACGGTCGGACAGACGAATGGTAGCGAATCAATAATTAATCAGCCGAGAGAACTCTATACGGTAGCCTGTGCCGGGAGTCGAATAACCGAATTCAATTGTTTCTCGATCGCATATATACATATACATATAATACACCATAAGGGCATACCACACAGTCGCACGTACATCGCCATAAAATATTCGACATCTACTCGTGACTATAACGTGTATCAAGCTGCCAACTGTAACTGTACAAGTTATAAGAAAATTACCTGTCAAACGGATTTCAAACGAAATATTCATGGTTCCGTAATGAAAATAGATTTTTTTTTTTGGTACCTTCTAATTGAATTGACCGGAATTTTATTCGAATAATAATACACAGTGAATAGTAGCAGTATCCAAGAGTATTATCCTGATGGTTAAACAGTCAACAAGATTGAATAATTTTTCACCAAGTGGTACCACTCATTCAAGAAGAATTATTATTTTATAATAAAAGTTAGAATTTCCACGCTTAATCGATGAAAAATTGCGAAGTAATGATTTAGAATCTTTTTTCGAAATTCTTTATACAGACAATGAATTTTCTGGACACAATAAGTGAACAATTCGCTCGGTTTAATAGGTCAATGGACGTTCTCAATGGTGGAAACAAGGATTCCAAAGGCATGTTTCCGCGGAAACGATACACGATCGATCGTGATCGGTTGACAAGCGCGATCCTCGGGCTCGGGCACTCTTGCGGCGGCATTGTTTACAGCCCCGGCCAAGGCAGCCCTCGATCCATCAAGGATGGAGAGGAATGTAACTTACCGCCTCGGTAAGAATGCTCGCGCACGTGGAAACGCATCTTACTTAAGCTGTAAGGTACGCGTGCATACGTGATGTGGCCATTAAACCGGAGGCATCTGGCGACCTTCTCGCTCGGACAGAGGAGAGTACGGCGTGCGTGGTAACGTCGTTGGGGGGGGGGGGGATCATTGAGAACGTCGTTGGACGATCCACTTGAACGAGATTGGGATCGGTTTCCTCGAGGTGCCTCTTTTTGCATTCTTGTAACTCTACATATTTTGATTTCTGAAACTGTATAGTGCCTAGACATCCGTGGTCCAGTGATTTTTCGAAATATCTTCAGATTCGTTATGAATTCTTTACTCTACTGGATGGTACTTTTTTGAGCGTTAATTAATCGACGAGGATTATTGTATAGAAGGTAAACCGTGAATACTTTAGGATAATTCATTAGGGTCTAATTAATTTTTAAACGGCGTCATTCTCAATCCTGTCCGCGCGTTGTCACGTTCGGGGTAAATAACGACACGCAAGCCTGATCCGCAAGCATGAGGCCGATGGTATGCATATAGGCGAGGAGAGAAAACGAATTGCACGAGCTGCCGGCGGCCGAGCAGCCACTACCAAGAAGTCCGCTCGAGTAATTGAGTATTCCGCCTCGAAAGAGTCATGTCGATCGACCGATACCTACTCTACGTCTGCCGGAAGTCGGGCCGGGATAGTTTGCCCGGAAAGCTCGCCACGATAAATCGCTCGCGATCCACGCCGCTGCTTTTCGAGCTGCTGCGCGATCTCCGTTGAATTCGAAATTTTCCCGCTCGCTGATCGTCGTTCGAACCGCTACCGTATTTCCCCGTTGTCAACCGTCTAGAGAAACTTTATCGAGGCTTGATTTATTTTTGTTTCGTGGTGATTCAATCGATACTGGGTCACTTTCGACCCCCCCCCCCCCCCCGTCATCGACAATTACAGGGAGGAAGACTTCTATCGTTATTCACTTACACATAGATTGCAATAAAAGTTGCGAAGAATCTCAGTACAATAGACTAATATGACATTTTAATCATTTTTATAAGTTTACAAACCCGTCAGTTTGTTTTGACTGCTTTGGTAGTTCTGGTGACAATTACAGGAGAATAGTAATACAATAGTTTATTGAACGTGATTCTGGGGAGGTAGCACTGTACACGTCCCAAACATATTCACTGAAGTTACACATACCCGTATAAATGAATGATTTTTGAAACCGTTCCTTCTAGGTCCTGACATACCCGGGTTCCTCTTGCAACCGTTCAGGAAGCCGAAGAGAATAAGGACGGCGTTCAGTCCTAGCCAACTGCTGAAGCTCGAGCACGCGTTCGAGAAAAATCACTACGTGGTCGGCGCCGAAAGGAAGCAGCTGGCGCAGGCGCTCTCGTTGACGGAAACGCAGGTAACGTGTTGTTGTCTCCTATTCTTCGACCATCTTGTCCTCCAGAAAAAAAGAACTAGCTTTCGATAAAGACCGGACCGGAAAGTTTTCTTTCGATCCAGGATCTCTAAAAGTCCGTTGGCTGGCTAGACACACGAATCCTGCCGGAGCTAATTGCCGGGCAATTAAACCCGCGTAATTACAAGTCGGCGAGACGGGAGGGTGCGAAGAATTGCCGGCTTCAAATTATATTTCTTAAGAGAGTGAGCGAACAAACTCCGCGATTATCTCGCGCAGTGGACGGTATTGTCTGAAATCTTCCATTCTTCCCATAGACTTTGATGATGTACCCACATCCTACTAATTCTTAGAAATTCTAGATTTTCTTTGGTTGCTAAGAGCGTCTCAGATTCTCGACCAATACTGTGTCCATTAGGTTAGCCAGAAATTCATTTTTTAGTTGCGATGGATGCACCAAACCCGTGTACATCACTAGTGTCCTTCAAATTCACCAGTTTCCAATGGATCCTGATTCAGGATCTTGTGTTGTGTTGTGGCCTTGGTGTTCAGCTCTTAACAGTGCTGTTCCCAACGAGCCAGTCGGGGCCGAATAACGAGGGGATTGATATGCTAATACAGAAGTCGAGAGGGGTGATGTGTGTGCGAAGACGTGCGTGCCGGACGCTCCAGATGCATTACGTGCATATGTATATCACACGCGCTGGGTTACGTATTCTATGGGCGTAACACGCTCTAAAAAAAGGATAGAGCCTAGAGGGGAGAACCGTAGGAGGGTTGGTGTGTATTGTGAATCGTGTCGGGAGAATGGTGGAGCCTGCCCCGACGCCATCTTGGTGCCGCGGTGGAAACAGGCTTTCGTCGCATTCTCTCTGTGTTTATTCTATTTTTCATCCTCAGACGTCGACCTTTTTTCACGCTCATCTCGGATATTTCCAAAGTTATGAGCCATTGTATGTCTTGTTCATGTATCCACGTTGTCACACGTAACGTCAGACATATAATTATTGCTCTTTAATCGGTCGGTATCGTTGAAAAAGGCACAAGTTTACGTTCCGTACGCTGGTCCTTTCCTTACTAAACCCTGTGGTTTGCCGAGCGAAAGATTAGAAAAGATTGTCCCGTTAAGGTTGTGTCTCGAGGCGTAATTAACATCGTGCAGCTCGAACGAGCAACCACCCTCTTTGCATCGCCCGCGCGCGGGCGCGCGCGCTCGCGACCCTCTAACAGACCCCGCAGGTTCGCGTGTTACACGTTTCTATACAAGCCACCGGCTCTTAACTCGGCCGTTAATTAAACTTATTATGCACGCTTGGAGTTTACGCGAGATAAGGAGGCAGGGTAAACATTTAAATCAGTTTATTCGCCGGTTTTTACAACGTCCTGATTACCGATGTCACATAATTCCACCCGGTTCACCTTTTCCTTGTTCCACTCGTTGGCTCCCCGCGAGACGGCTTAAATTGCGTTCATTTGTCAGAAGGACTTAATTTGAAAGTGCACGAGCTGAGACGGTTGAAATTATCGCCGTGTAGTTCGTGTTGGTATCGTTATTCATAGAACGAACACACTTTTAAGGGGTGATTTTATGCGGTTTTCAAGTTACTACTTCGTTACAATTACTCTAATAGAGAACAACAAAAAACAATTCAAAGTAAGAGAAAGCTGGCATTATATATATGTATTCTTTATTTCCGACTCACGGCCAGGATATTTCGACTTGGTTTACTACCTACCGTCACTTTACATCACCAACTTAAACCACGCATCCAATAGTTTTTTACACTTAAAGAACTGAGTTTACAGTTTACGAAGTTTAATATTACGTATATCTGGAACCAGGAAAGTAGTGAAATAATCAAACACACTACAATAATATCATTTACCGCATAATTATTTTTACAAAATATTTAACAAAATTTTAATTTGTTGTCAATATAAATTTTTCATTGTTGTTAGTATTTCGAGATACAACCATTGAGAAAAAAAAACTTTCAAAGTTTCGGAATTAGGACTTAAAAGAATGTTGTTTTCTCGGTTGAATTTTCATTATATTATGACGAATTTGTGTTCTTTGGGCCAATGAGACGCACGTAGATTGATTAACCGAATGTTTTTGAATAATGGAGTTAGAACAATTAAGAACTCGGGCGATGTAAATTTCTAGTTGATCTATCTAATCGAATCGTTCCTGGAGACTGTCAACCGGTTCACATACGAAAAACAACCGAACAAAAACGGGAACTAATCGTCGGATGAAGAGCCAATCAACCCGGAGACGCTCCTTAATTACCGGTTGCACCTCGTCTCTCTCCGGTTCCTCCGGGAATAACACGCGCTTGCTCGCTAGCACACGGGGTGCCCTGTTCTCGCGCTTGTTCGGGATTCATAAAGCGAAGCGTGCGTTACACGCGACCTGGTGGCCCTCATTAGGGGCCTAATTACGTGCGATTAGCCCCGCAATTACGGAGGGGAATACATTAGCCGTTGAATCGCGATCACGCAGCCCGTTTTCGCGCTGGTTTTGCGCGTTCTCGCGAGTCACGAACAAGGTGCCTCCTTTATCGCGAAATTCGAGCCGTGATTCGACTTATTAACACGCTATCGACGGGAAACACACCGTGAATCACCGTCCCTGGGTCTTTCTGAGAGTCACACTCGATACTTCACGTGTTTCGCTTTGTCCTGTGTTCCATTTCAGTGCGTAATATCGAAGTAATTATTATTAATGGTAGTACAACAATGTGTACAAGTAGATTGTAGCGCAATACTCGTAACCGTAACACGGAAAGTCGCCATTAGTTGCGATCACGCGGTTTTTTCGCGTCGATTTATTATTTCTGATTATCATTGGTCCGAATGGTCCTTCCTCGAATTCGTCTACCGTGGCTTTGTCGAGATTACGTTTGGTGCAAAGAAAATTAGAGAATAAAAACGACGTGCCTTCTTCCCTTGAATTGCGATAGTTGCGTGAGAAAAGGTCTGTTCACGGTGTGTAGGGGTCAGAGTTGGGCCAAAATTTGTATCTAAATAAAAATTTCGAATATAAAATGGTATTTTTATTCGATGAAAATTATCCGACGAATAAGGGATTCGTTTTCTATTTGAACTTCGAAGAACGAATAAAGTATTATCTTTTATTCGAATCGTTATTCAGATAACTTTTTATCGAAATAAGGCCCAACTTTGGTAGGGGCCATATGCAAACGCAGTTTTATTTGATCATTAGGCTCCAGTAGGTATGCTCTTTGTCGCAATTAGCGGGTAGTGCAATTAAGAGACACTATTCAACTCTAGAGAGATGGTGGTCGGACATAAAAAAAAATTCCTTTTTGAGCCGGACAATACGAGTAACAATCGCGTCCTACTTGTTCGTCCAAGACACTCGACCCACGCGTATCAAACGGAAAACGCTGCGTCGGAGATCAGGATTAATGGGGCCGAATTCGTTGATCGGTTTTAAAGGCTGATACGGCACTCTGACGACTTTAATTGATTAGGAGAAGGCGTACGCAGGTCGCAGGAAGACGATAAAACCTCGTTCTCCGGCTGCGATTTCGATCGACGTCGCGGCGGGATGATTAATGCCGTTTCGTAGCCCGTGTAACACCGTTGATGATTCGCGTCGCGAGTTTACAGGACGTGTCGTTAGAAACGAATCGGTACTTTCTCTAATAAATCCAGGAACGACGACGACGATGACACTGCGACACAGAGGAGGAGCATGCGAAAAGAACAATGATTAATCGGGGGATGGGTTCGCCGTAATGGCGAACCGGAACGCGGGGATGGATCGCGGAAGCGTCGATTTTTCGTGGTCGGACGACGGTTAATCCGCGGTTTGACCCTAATCTGTTTCAGCGTGTTCATTAGCTCGGACATCGCGCCGAGTCGTTTATAATCGTTTCTACACTCGTGCCCGGGAAGCGATTTAATCAATTCGTACGGTTCGCCGGTGATTAATCGATCATCATCGCGGACCAAGTTTCTTACACCGCGAATTTAATTACAAGTTTGTCGTGGTTGTAATTACAACTGCTATAACCTCCTCTGCCTGGACGACTTCCGTTTGTCGTTCTTGAAATTCAATATTTTCACTTTGTGAGAATATTGGTCGGGGTCTGGGTTAGGTATCGGTGTTGATGGTTTTGTTAGACGTTCACTTCTTGAAAGAATACGTAGTTTATGAAGTTCTTTTTTATACTATGCGTACATCGAAGGGAACAAAAAGTATAATGACTTCATTCCAATTACTGCGATCGAAGGAAAAAGAAGTCGCGGAGTGGCAGAAATTTTTCCAAGACACAGAACCAAGATGGCGTCCGTGGTACGGTGGCTGAATAACGCCCGAAGTTTCGGATGCTCGGTGATCACTGGTCGTCATTAACGGGCATAATTAAGGAAAAAAGAGGGTCCGTAGTAAGGCAGAGTCGGTTTCTCGCGCGGGCGCTCGTCCGTTCGGCCCTACCTGTCCGGAGTGATACAAAATAATCGCGTCGAGCATGGCCACTGCATATACACACACGGTCGTGCCGGGTCTGTAAATCATTCGGTTAATTGCCGGTTATCAGGGAACAACAAGAGCTGTCTTTTCGCTTTCGTTGTCACGACGACGGGTACAATGCCGATCGAGCGGGTGAGCCTTAACTTAACGAACACGCGTGTAGCTTGACCAGAGGCACATTCATTATCCAGATATCTACAGGGTTTCGATATTGGTACGGAGCAACTAATAAAGATAAGATACTACTTCAACCATATTTCATCAAAATGAACTTGAGCATCTGTATTTTGATTTTTTTTACGACTCCTCTCGTCGAACTTACTGTAGTATTAATAATTCCCAAGAAGCAACATCAATTCTATGTTAATTGCAACTGTATGCTCACCCCGAAAGCTGAATATTACAATCAACAAAGTAGTTTCACTCCGATTTCAAGAAAATTGTTAATACTGATTTATGCTAAATGCAGTTTGGAATCGACTCGACGTTATAAAGCAAG